AGCTAATGTAGTCTTTGACTTCCTTGAGTCATGAATGCAGGTGTTGTTAGGAAATTCAACCTCATGGCTATATTACCCGTAGTGTATGAGTGTGTGTGTGTGAATGTTTGTGTGGATGTTTCCCAGGGGTTGGTTTAGGCTGGAAGGGCATCCGCTTGCTGGATAAGTTGGTGGTTCATTCCGCTGTGGCGACCACGGATTAATAAAGGGACTAAGCAGACAAGAAAATGAATGAATGAATTTATTCATTCTTTTAGTCTTAATTCTTAAATCTTTAACAAATGCACTAAACAATTACATTTTTTTTACATTTGTTTTACAATCACAACAGATTGTACCAAGCTATGCTGCTATATATATATATATAGATAGATAGATAGATAGATAGATAGATAGATAGATAGATAGATAGATAGATAGATAGATAGATAGATAGATAGATAGATAGATAGATAGATAGATAGATAGATAGATAGATAGATAGATAGATAGATAGACAGATAGACAGACAGACAGATAGATAGATAGATAGGTATGTGTGTGTGTGTGTGTAAATAAAGCAAAATATTACATTTTGTGTTCATGAGAGTAAAATTTTATAGTTCAAGTATCATTTTAAAACTTTAGTTTATATTAAAAAAATAATTTCCACAATTAAATTACCTGATTTTACAGGTGATCATAACTACAGGTAAAATTCACAAATGTAGAACATGTACAGGTTAGTCATTGTCTAGGTAGCCTTTGTTCTACACTTGACTTGACAGACTTTACAGAAATTTGGCAATCCTTTTGTCCGTTATAATTTTGGTGTGCATGTTACTAGGTTCCTTTTTTTTTTTACATTTTTGTATTTCTCTGATTGAAAGGCATCAAAAAAAGGAAAAGCAAATTATATTTTGCATGTTTTTTTTGCAGAATGTTATTTGGAGGTAGAGAATAATGGAGGAGAGATGAGATGGTACCTCTCTTCATTTGCTCCTCCATATGTGAAGGTATGTGTTTTTGACATTTATCAGAGGTGGGGGACTTGAGTCACATGACTTTTAAAAAATTGTATGACTTGTGACTTGCTTGATTAAAAAAATAGGATGACTTGACTTCATTCATATAGTTTTGAATGGGGAAAAGTGTAATGGTCAATATGGCGAATGAATCCATGCCTCTAGTTTAGGAGCGAATGATCACTCGCTCTATACTGACGATGCTCCTTGGGCAGGGCTTTGACCAGATGTGTGTTTTTACAACAGTATCTGCAGTTGTTACGAAACCTCAGGGGTCATAAACGCACTGGATTGTCTGTGAATACTTGATGCACAGACATGAGAAATATATCCACATAAAGCTTGAAATCTCTACGTTTAATTAAACTAACTACATTTGAAAGGAACTGTTCTCTGGTTTTGTCATTTATATGAAACGCGCAAGGTACAGTTCATTCCGCAACTGACATCACACTTGACTTGAATGTATGATGCTTGTTTGAAAAAAAGATTATCATTGTTATAGCAGCACCACTGATGACAAATCAGCATCTGTGTCTTTAATGCTGCCCAACTCAAACAGCACCAAACATGGCAGACAGTAGCCCTACAAATTGTCTCTTTTGGCTATAAAGACTTTTAAATGAATGTTAAAGGTATGCCAGTAGCTCCACAAATGGTCTATTTTGGCAATAAATATTTAAAAATTGATGTTAAAAATATGCCAGATCCAGAGTATGCCACACAAAAATATCTGACGAGACAACATACAACATTTCAGGAACCAAAAGGAAAGGTACAAAGTAACCGATATGAAGTTTACTTGCGCATAGGTTGAAAATTGGCCTTAGTTGAATATTTGTTATAATTTTTTTTCCTATAGGAAATGTAATTGGAAAATATTGCTATAATATAACAGTTGGTGTTTATCTTAAACCTCCTGTCGTGTTCACATCCTGCCCCTTACTTTAGTGTTCCCGGTCAAAATTGTTATTGTCTGTTTTAACTGCTCTTATATTAGCGCACAAATATTTTTCCCAACCCAATTTTTATTCAACATTCTTTAGCTGTGAAGAATCTCTCAAAGTAGTGTTTAACATGAATTTACAGAATTAGACATAAAATCACTGCAATGAAAATAAAAATAGGCGCTGAAAATATATTACAAAATGAACAATAGATGACAGAAAACTAAATACTTTTTCATTACTAATAGACAGCTAACTAAAATAACGATCACAGCGTCTGACCAAAAAAAACTTACATTTAATCCATCTGAATGGTTGATCAACCAGCAAAGCACAAACAAAATGCTATCATTTCCTGTGTTCTGAGTGATCAAATTTTCAATCCTTCAGATGTACTAATATAGGGAATAGTGATTGAGGGTATATACGGTGAGCATGGACACAGAACTAGCACTAGTTATACTTTGGTCATTTTTGAGTGAAAAAATAACGATCTAATATTATAAAATATTGGTAACACTTTACAATAAGGTTCATTAGTTAATGCATTTACTAACATGAACTAATCATGAACAACACTTGTACACCATTTATTAATCATAATTGAACATTTACTAATGCATTATTAACATCCAAGTCCAAGCTTGTTAACATTAATGCACCATGAGTTAACATGGACTGACAATGAACTACTGTATTTTCACTAACTAACGTTAACTAACATGAACAAATACAGTAGTAAATGTATCGTTCATTGTTTGTTCCCGTTAGTAAATGCATTACTTAACATTAACTAATGAACCTTAATGTAAAGTGTAACCAAAATATTTGCTGCTAAAAAGTGCTCCTGCTAGACTCAGAGATTGGCTAAACGGAGATTGAAAGAAAGAAAGAAAGACACACAGATGAATTCACATAACAGACACCTAGTCTGGGTGAAGAAATGATACACTGAGGAAGCTAATTCACGTTGGAGGATCCAACTCTTTCATGACATTTCATAACTTATTGGTTTAGTATCTAATCCATATGAAATTGTACGATCTCATTTATACAGTTTTGTACAATTTGCTTATCCCCAATGAATAACGATTGGGTTTAGGTGTTACGTCTCCTTTTAAAAACCATTCATTTTTGTACGACTGAACTCGTATGAATTAGCCACCAAACTGACAAAACGTAAAATAATTATGTTTCCTTGTGAGATCAGACTGAAAGGCATTGTTCAGTCTGGAGTGAGTGAGTGAGTGAGTGAGTGAGTGAGTGAGTTGGGTTAGTCAGTATGGGGATGTTTTCTGTCTAATGGATGAATATAGTCTAGATACCCATTCATTTCCTATGGCGGCCACTTTTGACCGGGAACACCACAAGTGTAACCAGGTTGATTAAAACACTCAAAATTTAATGAAAGAGGTGATCATCACTTTTATATGTTCAAATGCATAGTGTGGAGGATATCATAAGGCCTTGAGGCAATAGGATGTAAAACACAATATTTATGAGTGATTTAAGTTGTAAATCGGTCAGATTTGACCTGAACACGACAGGAAGGTTAAAATGAGGCGGCCATTAATGTCTATCTTAAATGAATATGTGTGAACTAATGTTACATGTGGAAGCTGAATAGCAGTACACTTATACTGCATGATAGTACGCTAACATGGAGGTGCCTATGCAATCACACCACAATTTCAGTCAAACGAGTCAAAAAGACGAGAATTTGGTATGGCCGAACTTAATGGTCACACTTGCTCAACTTGAGCATGTACATTTAAACTGCTGCCCGGCACTGAAGCTGCTTTCTCGAATCCCCTACATTATTTTGTGTATGTTGGTAAGCAAGATGATCAGACTGTGAATGGAGGTGCCGGTGGCAAAAATTGTGCTATATTATATTGATATGCTCATGCTGCTGCTGTATCCCTTCTAGATTTTACCGTGCACATGGGTTTCATAGACAGGATACTTTAGATAGAACATGAGATGAAACATGCATATTGTGCGTCCACTGCAGAAAAGATGATTAAGCATTCTACTGTTTACTGGCCATTTTAAATTATGTTCTGCTCAAATTAAGTACATGACTCAGAAAAAGATACGTTTGTTTTGGCGAATGAACAAGGAAAAGATTCACTGTTGCAAAATTAAATTACACAGACTGGATCAGACATGTTTGACTCAATGATTTTAAACTTTTTGTCAAAAAAATGTAGAAAGGTGTCTGTTTATTTTAGTTAAGTGGTCCAACTCACTTGATTTGATTGAACTGTAACTTTAGGCTTGATGGAATAAGACTTAAGACTTGACCATGTGTGACTTGTCTCCACCTCTGACATTTTTGGAAGAATTTTGAACCTTTCATTATTTATGGTTTAACTCATTTTACCTTTGCTGTTGTTTCATGGAACAGGACGTCGATAGAAGTGGAGGTGTTTATCGTGCAACATATACTGCTTTCAGATGTGGGAAGGTATCTGGGATTCTGGGGACTCAAGAGAGCATGAAGGTTAGTGTGTGTGTGTAAAAACAGCTCATCTCTGAACAATTGTACAGATTTCATTCAAGTATTCAGTTAGTTTTTTTTTTGTTGTGTTGTTTTTTTTCTCTCTTGGTATTGTAAAAAGGTTCAATTCACATTCCTCCCTCGTGACCAAGGTGATTATGCACAGTTTTGGGATTTAGAATGCCACCCAGCAGCCAAACCGCAGCACAAAAGTCGTGTTCGCTTCCAGCTGTGTGGTACTGTAAGTCCGATCAATGTGAAAATCTGTTTTTTATAACCAACCTAATGCAACGTCTATTAATTTAGCCTCCTAACAGAAGAGACTGATAGCTGAAATGCTGTTTCATTTAAAACAAGTACATGAAACTACTGCAAAAAATGAAATGGCTGAAAAGTACTTGTTTTGGGAGTTGTTGAAAGTTTTTCATGTGTACAGGGCATAAGCATTAAACGAGGATCCAGTGTTAAGCAAAACTGCTTACCAGTGGAAAAGGAAGATCGAGTGAAGAGCAGGAAGAGACTGGAGTCTGCAGGCACTAAGACAGAGTAAGAGTGTGTCTATGTTTGGATGTGTGTGTTATTTACATGAAGAACACTGTTTGCCATCTCAGTTTATTGTATGATTTCTACTTAAAACACTTGTTAGATAAATTATTGAATAAATACAGACCTAGAGGTGCTTCATAATTTTTCGGGACAGCCACTTGCAGCTAAATCATTTAATACCAATAACCCCATCACTGATTACAATGTCTAATTGAAGCCCTGTTATTATCATGTTGACTACATTTTAAAAATGTGTAATAAATGTTGAAAATATTATCATTTGACAACTACATGTATTGCCAAGCAACGTGTAACATACCAACCTGAAACATAGCAGCATGCACTTAGCTAATAAGAACATATTAGAGTTAGACAATTATACCTTTCTAGTAGAATATAAAAAAAATAAACAAAACACATTTCGATCTAGACAACTTTAGGCAGAAAAATGTCATAGAAAAATGTGCATTACTAAATCTTTGTTTCAAATCAGTTAGCTCATATTTCTCTAATATTCTCTCTAATATCAGAATAGGAATGTAAAAGATTATTCCCAGCAAACATCAGCTTATTTCCTCCATTTTCTTTGAAAAGCTCAAAAGGGGAGAGCCAGGTGAAATGGAAGCATGTCTGGTGACAGAGGTTGTGGTTCAGGAGTTGAAATATGTTATCCTGGCTGTTTTCCTGGAGGTCATCTTTGAGTGTTGAGTCTTGAAGCTGATCTTGTATGTAACAGTCTATCTGTGGTGAGCTCAGTGCATTAAGCCTTGCTTTATTTAATTCATGGGGCTTATAATTTGATAAATATAATTCAATAATTCATTTAAAGCATAACATTTAATACTTATTAACATATTAATTATATAATATTAACATCTGCACTGGGAAAAAAAATAAGCACAGCCTTGTTATTGTTGTTAGCCTTGTTATTATCTTTGATAATTTACATTTATAGAACCCTTAGGCTCTCTGTCATGGTAATGTATGAAAGAGAACTGTTAAACACATAGTGTTTGCGAAGTGGAATGCAAAAACTTTGGAGCTCAATATCTCAAAATCATTTACAACGCAGATAGGACCTTATAATTCTAAGGTGACAATGTTGATGACTGTATAGCAAATTGGCTGAGAATATTTCAAATTGTAGAGCACATTAAGCATATAAGGCAAACAGTAGAGCAGTGGTAGAATGCTAGTGTAGTTTACATGACATTAAAGTATGTTAAATGACTACCCACTGAATGCCCCTGCTTATAATATTTCTTGTCTTAGAGCCGTGGTTTCCAGTTTCCATCCTCGGGAACACCCGCCCTGCACATTTGTTATGTCTCTCTTAAATGACAAACAAGGATCAATTTATCGATCTCTCTGTTAATGAGCTTATGATCTGAATCAGGTGTGTTATGAAAGGAAGACTTACACATTGTGCAAGGCAGGGGGTCCCAAGGACCGGAATTGAGAACCATTGTCTTAGGCCCCGTTTACACTAGTGCGTTTTAGTTTTAAAACGGCGTTGTAGAATGAAAACGATCCGCGTCCACACTCGCGTTTTACCCAGCGTTTCTGAACAGCTCTCCGTCCACACCAAAACGCTGAAAACGCACATCACGTGACCACACACACACTCTCGGGCAAGCGCTCTAGCATTTCTACCCAGATGAGAGCTCTGCTTGTCGGACTGCTCATCAAGCATCTCCCGCTGGATCTAATATCACTATATTTGCTAAACGTGATATTTCATTAGGGGGTCAAGCGCGAAGCGCTGAAACCCTATTGTTTTTGTTAAGATTTTTAGGGGGTCAAGCGCGAAGCGCTGAAACCCTATTGTTTTTGTTAAGATTTTTATTATTATTATTATTATTATTATTATTATTATTATTAGGGGGTCAAGCGCGTAGCGCTGAAACCCTATTGTATTTGTTAGGATTTTTATTATTATTATTATTCTGCCGAAGTCACTATTGCCCAGACCAAACCGTAAGGCCGAGAGAGCTGAAACTTGGCCAGATCGTAGTACCCCGGTACACTACATTCTCACCAAAGATCAGCCAAATCGGACCATAGGTGGCGCTACAGCGCTAAAAACCAACATTTTGGACATTTTTGGCCGCTGTACGTTCACCGTTTGTCGTAGACTCAAAAACTTTACATTTTTTCAATCCTTGGGTTAGCCCCAACAAAAGTGCACAGCTGCACTTTTTGCTCTACGACGCACCGTTTTCCCGTTACATCGCCATTTGTCCGAAACCTACTTTTGCGAACTAGTCCTAGGTTTTTCTTTCAATCTAAACCAAACCAGCTCTCAAATGTTCTCTAGACACTGAATATCAATAATTATCAAAAAAAAGTTGACTTTTTTATTCTTACTCGAAACAGTGCACAACAATGTTCGATGCTAATTGAAGCTAAATGCTAATTGGAGCTATAACTTTTGAACGGAATGAGATATCATCACCAAACTTGGTACACACATGTTTAAGGTCAATTTGAGGTGACTGTGCAAAAACAGCGGACTTTGGCCACACGGTGGCGCTATAAAGCTTAAAAACCATAAAATGACCCTAACCTTACAACCGTTAGTCCAATCAGCTTGAAATTTGGCATGCAGTGTCTTTGACCAGTTTGCCATGATATATTATAAGGACATTGGCACATCTCAAAAAACGTGGCCGCCATTGGCCAATTAAAATTGAGCAGCCATTTAACAAGGTTAACGATGAGTGATCGAAACGAAACTCGCTGGGCATGTTCGACTCATGGTCCTAGAGGTCTGTAAGAGTTTTGAAAGAAATCGGCCACTAGGGGGCGATTTTACGTATTTTTATTGTGTAATGGGTTGTGTATCACACAACCTTTTGCGCAACCACACAAAATACATATCATATGATAGGCCTGCTCATACCGAACAGTTTGACACTAAAACCACTGCTGTCACTTACACCGTTCATTAAATATTCATTAATATAGTAAAAACCTACTTTTGCGAACTAGTCCCTGGTTTTTTGCTCAATCGCGACAAAACCAGTGTTGTTAGAATCTCTGGACTGTGTAGATCAATAATTATCAAAAAAAAGTTGAACTTTTCACTTTGACTAGCTGTAACAGGCTAATTGACAAAAGGGGCGTGTCCACACGAGCCTACATGCCTGTAAACCAATACGGAAAGCCCAAAACATCACAGAAATTGGTGAGCACATGTGGCATATCAACGAGAAGAAACGGGCAAAATTTTGTGAAGATCAAACCATAGGTGGCGCTATAATAGCAAAAATAGTCTTAAAAACATGCCAAATGGCTTAAAAATAAAGTAAATGTGCTTCATTTAAACACTATTTCACAAATACACTTAATCTACATATCATATGATAGGTCTGCTCATACTGAACAGTTTGAGACTAAAACCACTGCTGTTACTCAAACTGTTCATTAAAAAACCATCAATATAAACAAAACCTACTTTTGCGAACTAGTCTCTGGTTTTTAACTCAATCGCAACGAAACCAGTGTTGTATGAACCTCTGGACTGAGTAGATCAATAATTATCAAAAAAAAGTTGAACTTTCTATTTTAGATAGCTGTAACAGGCTCATTAACAAAAGGGGCGTGTCTACACGAACCTACATGCCTGTAAACCAATAAGACAAACCCAAAACATCACAGAAATTGGTGAGCAGATGTGGCATATCAATGCGAATAATCATGCAAAGTTTTGTGGTGATCGGGCTATAGGTGGCGCTATAATAGTGGAAATGGTTCTAAAAACATGCTAAAATGGCTTAAAAATGCAGTAAATGTCCTTCATTTACACACCTATCACTGAAATGATTTATAAGTTTTTTTTTTGCCCATCTTGGATGTTTAAATGTCTCAAAAACACATATTTTCAATATTCTATCATTTTAGCCACTATAACACAGACTTTTAACTGTCACCTACTATTTCTAACCACTAGATGTCACAACAAGACCACTTATTTATTGTTCATAACATTTGCATACCTTTGTTGTTTTACTTTTTTGAGTTAAAAGTCAGGGAAATTGCATTTAGGATCATTCTGAATCACATTTGACCTGATATAAACACTGTTATGCATTAAACATCTAAGTTGGTCCCAGTTAACCTCTGTGTAATAATTCTAATAGGCAAAACTGGTTCTATGATTAAACACATTGTTTTAAAACATGTGTAAAGAAAATCACAACTGTGGCCACTAGATGGCAATAACAGACCACTTATAGTTTATAGTTTATTTTACTGCTCTGTAGCAAAGAATGTGATGTAATGTAATGTAATGCATTCTGAATCCCAAATTGACATGAACTGAACACAGTTAATGCATTTAAGATTAAATTTTGTCAAAGCTTGTCACACTTTTTACTCAGTAGATTTTTAAATTCTTTTAATAAAACACAAAATTATTAGTTTATATAGTTATATAGTTTTGTAATTTTTGTTGGGAAGAGCTAAAATAGCCATAACTCATGAATGGATTGAAATATCTACACCAAACTTGTTACACATATGCAAGAGGATAATCAGAGGTCATAGCATGAAATTCGTAGACATTGGCCACATGGTAGCGCTATACGTTGTAAAATCACTTTATCTGAGTAACCATTTATCTGATTAACTAGAAATTTGACATGTCGTGTCTTTGTCTAAGGTGCCATGACTCGATCTACACATTATATCTTAGGGCTGCTTATACTGAACGCTTTGACATAAAAGCGGTCACTCGAAATGTTCATTAAAAATTTGTCAATATTTAAAAATCGAAGTTGCTTCTCTGGAGTGTTTAAGCAAACATTTGTTAGCTCAATCTATAAACTTTAACCCTCTAATCGTATATTTCGTTGTCGAATAAACTACTTACAGGCGTCCTAACTGCTATATGACCTTACCCTGCTAAACTGCTTGACCCCCGTTAATTGCTGCTTGCAGCTATATTTATTATTATTATTATTATTATTCTGCCGAAGTCACTATTGCCCAGACCAAAC